TACCTATTATCCAACCACTAACTTCATATACATAGATATATATGTACAAAACCAATGTATCTATGTATAATATCTAATGGACATGTACTCATACTCGAGGAAAAAAAAAATTAAGCATAAGAAAGTTCCAAAATAACAACAGGATGAACGACGCTGTCAAACATAAGCAGCTATCCAAATTCTTCTATATTATATATTGACGTAAAAGTATCCACAATAACAAGCTTGCATAAAAAGCATTAATGAGAAAAGGAGGATGTAATGGCACACAAAGGAAAGGAAAACCTATTGGCACTGATCATTGATAAAGATATAAGAGAAACAAATGTAAACTGCATGTGTAACAATAACTTAAATATAACACTGGACAACCACTAGCATATATCATGATTTCCAGTTAAAAGACTAACTCAAATACTTACAACATAAATATGGTACATATTGTTATCATACAATAAGACTCAACAAGGAGATTATCAGTCTATTCTCATTTGCTTTTACCTTTTTAACTTGAAAAAAGTCACCTGTAATCTTCTAAAAGCTAAATCTTGTTTTTAAGTTTTAAAAGCATTTAAAACCTCAAGATTTCCATTTAAAAACCAGATTGATTCAAACTATAAAGTACTATAAGTGAAGGGGGCTAGGAAGTCAACAAAATGTTTAACTTTTGAAGAAGCTAAGATTGACTTTTTTTAGCTAATAAGAACGAGCCCCACCGTCCATAAAAGAAAGAAAGAGAACTGATGCAGAAAGACACAAGGACGATTAATTATTTACAATACTGTGAAACAACATTTATGGACACCTCCATAAAATAGAAGGTTTCCACCTAAAATTAACTTTAGACAGTGCATAGTTGGACCAACAAGGAAGCCCCTCTTATGGATCAGAAATGGGCAAATGGCACCGATATAATTGAGATTGAAAGTTGTAACCTTACATTCTAGCAGATGGTCTGTCCCCTTCTGGATTAAGTCTCTGCCATACATATGGCTTTTGAGCAGTATCCAATGCCCAAGCATCTGACAACACTCTTTTTCCTGCAGAGAATTAAACTTCTGATAAGTTGATGCAATGGAAAACTTACAGAAAACACTGATAAAGCTGACTTGTCAAGTATAACCTGTAAAGTAGACAATTCAGGTGACACGTTCCCATTTTCTATAAAGGCGTAAAGTGTAGACAAATGTCTAGCAAGAGTTCAAGCACATCTTAGAAATGACACTTCTGTAAAGAATTGGGAAAACATGATAAAAAGGAATGACTCAAGGTAACTTGTATTGTTTGGCAATACCAAATTATGGGTCCAGCTTATGTGTGCCAATTTGGATTCATATACTGCTTAATTTCAAAAGATTCATTTACGCCCACTAGCCAGGGGAGGGATCTTAAAGTCCTCCCCACTACCAAGTTCAGGGTTCAAATCCTATGGAAAAGGTGGGAGGATTTGGGAAAAAAAAAAGATTCCATTTAAGCATTATGTGACCAAAAAACAATTTCCAATCACTTATCACTGAATAGAATGTATTTGTGCACCACATTCCAACTTGCAATTTCTTATTCCCCTAGAACTATGTTGTGGTTCTTTATTGACAATTCAGTTGAAGATATCTTCCACTTAGCAAACGAGGAAGATTAACCTAATAAAAGTCTGAAACTGGAAACCATTCTCACCATCATTGCCAGTAACAGTGACAAGGTATCTTTGAGCAACCAAGTCCATCACATGTCCATACCTTGGACCAGGACCTTGTCCTTGAACTACAACTCTACACTTGAAAACAAGTTTGCCAGGTCAAATTCAGCATTCAGAAAAGAACAAAAGAACATAAAGGAACAAGTAAAAAATGCCCAAGCAGTTTCCAGAAGCAGACCGGTGCCACTTGAATTTATCATTTGTCAAGTCAAGCACATAGAGATCATCCGTTGAATGCCCAGCAGGACCTATTCCACCCTAAGAAACCCAGCATCAAATTTATACCTAATTTTGAGAGGAAAAATAAAAAAAGAACCAGAAATTCAGTCAAAATTATGCATTCTGTCTCTAATCACCTGAAACACAACCATAGTACCGACGGCGGCAGCAGCGTGCGCGGCCCTGGGAGAAGGTGGCTCCCCGGCTGGCCGGAGTCTGAGCAGAAGTGAATATGGATAAGATAAACGCATAGTAAGGTGATCAACCATAAAGAAAAGAAACAGAAAAATACAAGCTTCAGTTGAATTAAAGAGAAGACATACCTGGTCCATTTTCTAGTAAGAACATCATAGGAATGGATAGAATTCGTCACCCCAGCTAACCCTGAGATATCAGATTAGACACAAAAATTCAACCAAACAAGATAAGAACTTTTGTCTTACGGATGCCGGGAAAAAGAAAAATATATGTAGCGGAAAGACTTACGGATGCCGGGAGCGCCACCATTACCGCCCTCGATAGCAGTGGCGCCACCGAAGAGGATAAGGCGAGGACCGTGAGTTTTGGTAGCAGCAACGACAGTGAGAGTGTGGCCGCAGCGTGGGCCGGGCGCATCGTCGTCGGTGGCCCAAAAGGTCTCTAAAGGGCGATAGGTCGGAGCCGGATACAGCCACGGCTTCGAGCCCATCAATGAAAAAGGAAAAAAAAAAAGAAAAAAAGAAAGGAATCTAACCAACCTAACCAACCCTGCCCACTCCTCAATCAAGGATTTTTAAGTTCCAACTGAAGAAGCAGATCACAGAAAAGGACTTGGTGGGCAGGAACAAATAAATATAACAACGGACAGTTAAAACTCTTTGAAGACGGATCCAGGCCCACCGGCGAAGCAGAAAGAGTGACGCCGGAATCTGGGATCGACCGAGGGATTGTGGTTCATTTGATTTCGTCGTCCCCCCTGTAAAAGTGATTGTACTGAGAGCTTTGGCTTTTTTCAGACTTGAGAGGGAAAGAGGGACAGAGTGGGTTTTACCACGCTACTAAGCAGAAATAGTAGTAATTAAATTTCTCCTCGAAAAACAACGAGGCAGCTGGCACTTCGTTCATTTTTCCTTTTTTTTTTGGGATAATTGTAGAAACCTCTCCTGAAATTTCTAACAATTGCACTCACCTTACCTAAGGTTTTGAAAATAGCACTGACATCTCCTAACATGAATTTGGAGCCAATAACTAACATAACATGGGATGAATTTACTTCTATAACCTAAGAGTTTAAGGTTGTTGTAAACAAATATGAAACAAAAAATTAGAACAATAAACAAGTTCATAACAACTAATTAAACAAGATTAATAATTAAACAAGCTTGTAACAACTAATTAAAGGTACAATAGCAATAGTCATCAAAATAATTATAGATTGATGATAAGTAGTGTGTTGACTGTGGCATTTAGTTGTTTTGACTTTTCCAGTTTAGTAAATTCCATGATTTTCCTTCGTGGATTGATGAAACCATTCTTTTTGCACTACTACTTCACTTTTAACTAGCAAACAAATAAAAAAATACACTATTATTGGTTTTTGAAAAGTTTCCATGTATACTAGGTAATGAAAAATTTTTGAGTTGGTTGTATACTTTATATGTTTTAAATCTCAAATTTTCGAACATATATTCATTACTTCTTCCAGTTGTTGTTGTTCCATTTATTTTCTTTACATTTATATCCTCTTGAGTTTCACTAATTGTTTCCAGCTTTTAATATTTTTCATTCTTTTACTAATAAAACCACACAAGAAGCAAAAGGGTACAAATGGAACAACACTTCTCAAAAGACTTTTTTTGACATGGAGTGAATTTGCTATTAAAATGTTAAGTTTAGGGGAGGTTAGTGCTATTTTCGAAACTTCAAGAGAGGTGAGTGCAACCATTAAAAATCTCAGGGGAGATTTCTGCAATTATCCCATTTTTTTTAGTGTATTGGCCATGGGGTATTTATGTCGAAGCAAAAAAAATATATATATATATATTAATATTATTTATTACTTCTTGGGAGAACTCTCAAACTGAGAAAGTCCTACGAAACTTTTTTAAAAAATGTTGACCGAAAGGCAAAAGCCACCTACCATAATAAAATGGATGATGACATAAAATGAAAGACAGAGAGGAGCCCATCTGCCAAACAAAACAATCAAATTGAGGACCGGGTAGAATGAGATCCCCTTATATTTATTTAAATAAATGAGAAAATTGTGAGTATAATTACTAAACCATCTAAAATTGTATGATTCACTATTTTTTTTTTTTTGTTAAAAAGGTCACTCAACTCCTTTTTTTTTTTTTTTTTCCCAAACTGCAAAAAGGTCACTCAACTCCTTAAAAGAGACATTTTGGGATCATTCTTTATTGCAGCAATTTAAGACATCTTTTTTTTCCCAAAAACTTAAAATAATAGATGGAATGTTCTTCTTTTCTGTTGGTTTACTGGTTAAATCAACCAACATGATCTCATTTTAAAGGGTTGGATGACCTTTTTGACCAAAAAGAAAAAAGGTTCGATAACTAGACCGGACCATTTCAAATAATTGAGTGATTATTTTGGACATTTACTCTAATTGAATTGATTGAGTTTCTAGAATGGGGCAGGTTTTCGGCTTGAGATTCTAACAATTAGCATCATATTTATTTTTCTAAGGGACCTGTTGATTTAGTCGGTTATTTATGTACACATACCGTTGTTTACCTCCGCAACTTGCCATCATTATTTCATCACATCTGACTGTTTTTGCATAGAAAATCCGGAGAGGCTCTGGATTGGAGGGGGTCCGGTCCTGTGGCCAATGAATGAAGACCTAACAATAATGGTTTCAAGCCATCTGCTTAATCAAATGCTTCTTCCCTCTTTCAATGAGAATTTGAGAAGAATAGAAATAAACGGAACAAGAACAGAACCAGGCATATCTTCCGATCAATTAATCCGTCGCTACAGCATACCACCACATGGTTGACGACTTGACGCTTGCTTCTTCAATGGCGTAGTCTCCATTTTCTACAAATTCAACCAACCAAAAAGTCGACATGCGCAGGAGGGCTTCAGTTTCCAGCAGGCGGCAGCCCATTTAAGGGAGACACTACTGTCCGCTAATAATATATATATATACGCGCAATAAAATCTTCACAAATCATAGTAGTAATATATGTGTACAGTGGACTTGTACACCCGCAACATCATCTAGAAACCACATATTCCACTACTTTGAGTTCTAGACATCTCTTTGGTCCCTAAAAGACCCTTGAATCATATTTTGACCCTTCCGCAGCACACCACAGGCCTTGTAAGGAGCCAAAAGTTTCCCCCAACGCTAAGTCCATGTAATTAGCTCCTCCCCAAGTTCCATGAAATTCCAAAACTTGAAAAAATGCATTGAACGGTGACAGAAAATCCCAACCAGATTTTCAAGATTCAAATTACCATGCTAAGCAATCTCTAAGCCAGATCATTTTCTCCGTAATGTACAAACAGACACCAATATCTTTAACCTTCCAATGATTATACTGCAAAACAAAAGGCACTTATCAGGGGCAGGGATTTGGGAACCTTGAATGCACCTTGTTAACATCTGCAATAATGTCATCACTCAGATTGACACTGCAGGCATTGAGAACCTCTTGGATTTGCCACACTGTTGTAGCTCCAAAAATGGCACTTGCAACAAGAGGGTGTCGAAGAACAAAGGCTGCACAGAGAAAACTTCACGATTACGAAGCTGAGGATATCTTTTGATGAATAAAGAAGCATTATCTTATATAGAATACTATAGTATGAGCATGATATTTTTTTTTAGAACCACCAACACTTGAGCCAAACCATCAGCAGCAGGTACCTCACTTTGAATGAAGCCAAATGCAGATAATCAGAAAATCTCCTACTCATTACACGAATAAACAACTCATAGGGGAAGTTTATAACTCGGAATTTTCTTCAGTGTCATTATGTTCAGAGACTCCAAGACACCAACTATTAGCATAATAACAACTCATCCAGCAACTAGCACTTTTAAAATGTATATCTTCTTTATATGAAATACCTCCAAAATAAGCTTGCAAACACAATATACAGTATCACTGCAAAAGGCCTGATGGGTGAATATAACTGGTTGTTGACTTTTTCTTTTTTCTATATTCTCAGGGGAAAAGCATCTTTATTTGCACCTTTCGAAGGACTAAAGGTTCTGGACCACAAAAACAAAAGAAAATAATATAAAAAGCAAAATCAACTATTGGTGGTTTTCAATGTTAAGGATTCTTTTTGAGAGTTCAAAGAAAACAATTTCAGTCAAGTTCCATATATCAGTCAGTTGATCTGGTTAGAAAGGGTGAATAGAAATTAAAAGAGAGAGAGAGAGAGAGAGAGAGAGAGCATGTGGAATGCACTTAAAGAGACATGTCATACCAATTGCAAGAGACACCGGGTGGATGTTGTATTCTTCTGCAATTTCAAGATATGACTGCACAATAATGTAAAATCTTGATAAGTAGACAAGAAAATGTGCTTCTATGCACAATCACCCTATATGTTTAAAAGAGCAGTTGATAACATTATAACTTGTTTGGCCACAGAATCCTCCAGAATGTTCAATAAAAACAGTTGCAAGCATGATAAAACTGCCAATTAATATCAAGCAATGAATCAAGCTGCAGAAAGAAAATGAATTTAGCAATGCCAGGAAAATATCTAGGCATGAGTTATTTCCCGTTTCCTTTACAATCAACCAAAGATCTAACAAAACCAGCTTGCTTGTCCTCCTATGAAAATAATTGGCTTACTTCAGTGGCTGCCTTTATACTGGTCTTTGACAGGTTGTATCTCGACTCTCCTTCAGCATATCTTCCTGACAAAAGGAAGAGTCAACTGTTTCAATAAAATAAATAAATAAATAAAACCAACTTGACCAAGATTTGATAGAAGAAACCAGTGTGACCTCTGAAAAGATTAAAACGAGCATCTGGCGGACCCTTGTCAAGTGAGAAATACTTGCCGGAGAGAATGCCCATGGCTAAAGGACTGTATGCTAACAGACAAACCCTAAATATAAAATTGTGTTTGGGGGGGGGGGGGTCAGTGCAGGAAAATGCCAGCATCAGAATAATTTATTAGACGATCATATGCATATATAAGCATGAAGGAAAGTTCTTCCACTGGAATACAGAATAAGAAGGCCAACAGAAAACTAGATAAGAGTAGTTCCCTCTGTTCTATTTCTGGTTGGTGTAGTGCATATCTGATGAAAACTTCAAAGAAGATGTTTTCACAAAAACCATCACATTTAAGCCAAGAAACTTAACTCCTTTCATAATATATTTGAAGTATAAACTCTTTTACAGGTTATGTTCTCATTCCACTTAAAAATTCATAAAAACTCTATAACTGCCATGTACCCAAAACCTCAAGAAGATGCACGAAGCCAGTAATTGTGAATAAAACAGACAAAAATTAAGACCATGGAAAAGTCAAGTACAGCATGAATAAGTGCAGTTCATGGAAACAAGATGGTCAAAAGGTATAAGTATGACGAATGATAACTTGCCAGAAGATACACTAACTGAAAGAGGTAAACTGAAGCAAATAAATGCGGCTTGAAAGACAAGAGGCTTCAGGTTCGGAATTTAGACAAAAAAGAAACAACCATTGATGTGTGGCTAAACCAAGAATGAAGAGTGACATACATATTTATCTCAACACATATGTAATGAACTCATAGCAGAAGGCAGTTAAACATGTTGACAGTACAGTATATAACCCAATTAACTGAATATTGAAATACATACTTCAAAGGATATTAGCGAGCAATCACTTTCTCAATAATTTTTGGAGCTTCCTAGTGGATGGAAGCAGTATTCCCAGTATAAGTGAGACTTAACTCAGTTGTGCAGATCATACACACATTCAGCACTAAGGGGTACCTCTCATGGTGACAGCATTCAGCCATCCCAAAATCAAAGTTCCGGCAAAGCAAGTTGTACGCATTCTGAAAATAGGGAAGTGAATCATATATTAGCTTCACATACATAGGGTCAACTAAAGTACAGAGATGAACGCACATGCAAGAATAGACAGCAAAACAAACTCAAATTACTCAATTATCTAAAGAAGCCATCTTGAAAACAAAGCCCCGCCAAAGCAAGTTGCACAAGTTCTGAAAGTAGGGAGGTGAATCATACCACAAGCATAGGGTGCACTAAAATACAGAGACAAGCGAACACATGCAAGCATAGACAACAAAACAAACTCATATTACTCAATTGTCAAAAAGAAGCTACCCATACAACACCTGCAAAGATACTATCCTTAGATAGTGAGGTTCCTTTTGGGCAATTTCCAGAAACTTCATGACTCCATACGGAGTCTCATTGCTTAGTCCGATGTATCTGATCTACAATAACAGTCAACATTCTGTAACAGGAATATATCACCCTAAAGCAATAAGTTGAATGCAAGCTGAACTTTTAGGTCATCTTTACTAACCTTACCAGCATCAACAGCTCTGCCTAAAGCATCAAGTTGTTCATCAAAACTTATATGTGAAATATAACGGCCAGGATCATAGTCAGTTTCTCCAAACATTGGAACATAACTGCAAGAAATCCCAGTGGACATCATCCACGAAAACAAACTTTTTTTTTTTTTGTTTTGTAACATAATTTTCTGCAGGGGACAATATGTGGGATTACTTCAGTTAGATTTGCAAAGGACAGTTACACATTTTTAGTACGTCAGCTTATTATTCTGGAAACAGAATTTGTTCTAATGGTTACCCATTTGCCACATAGTATCTATACAGAAAAGGTCAGGTGAATGTACAAACCGATCAGGCCAGTGGATTTGATACAAGTCTATGTAATCAGTTTGAACACGCAACAAACTGCAAGAATTTTTGCAATCCTGTCAGAGAGTATTTCAACAAAATCATCTTGAAAACAAAAACATACAAGCCCTGCAGTTAAGAACTGCTTCCTCAAACACACACTGACACTATAGACATACAATCTCTGAATGCCAGTGTAATGATGCAAGTGTAGAACTAGACCCAGCAGACGACAACATTAGCACCACTTAGGCACTCAAGATATAGGTTTACCCCATGAGAGCAGAGGGCTGCAAACAAATAACTCAACCTATTCTCTAGGGCTTCTGTTATATTCCTGGCATCCAAACTTTCCGGTCCATTTCGAATCCAAGTCATCTGTCCAGATGGCCCACTGACCTGTATCCAAGCAATTTACAATCACTCAAGAAAATCAACCAATGTAAAAAATGTGCTAGTTGGTATACAGTTTTAAAAGATGTATTTGTGTATGGCTTTCGTAATTGCGTCCAATTGAATATAATTTATCAAATAATCCCAATGCATAGGGGAGCAAAAGCAGCACTGTGAGTCACTGCATGCATGTGTAGAAACACATATACCAGGAAATACACATATGCGAAGAAATAGGGCCAAGATACACACAAGCAAAACACATACAGGACATTTAAATTTCTATTAGCATAATTAAGAAAGTCACCATATATACGAGTAGAAGCACATATACCCGGAATTAAGTATGTGAAAAAATTAACAGAGCCAAGATCTTGTATCGTTTGGATTGCAACTAGTATGGGGAAAAGAATATGGCAACAAACTCAACCAAGTCATTAGTGGCTTATACCGTGAAAGCAAGGTTAAAATAACCAACTCAAAATCAAACGTGGTGCTTAGCAGTGTACTTTCTTGAGGAATTATAACAAGTTTTCCAATCAGCACAGCTTTTGGAGGACAGTAGAGTCAGCCATTCACTTGAAGCCACATGCATTAATTTTACATCTAGAAACTAGAAGGAATCCCTCACAAGCATCAACAAGGTAAGCGAAAGACGGAAATGTTCGTCAGATAAACAAAACTGTAGAATCAATCCGCCCTATTATTCTTATTAGATAATGAGAGCGCGTCAGTGTAAAAAAAAAAAAAAAAAAGGAAAAGCCAAGAACAGCAACAGCAAAAATAAAAAGAAGAGAAGGATGACCTTGGTAGCAAAAACAACACGGTCACGAGGAATTTTTCTATCTCTAATCCAACGGCCAAAATACTCCTCACTCCTCCCTTGAGTACGGGGTCGCTGTGGCACTGGGTACCTAGTTTTATAAGGTTCAAGGAGCAACGTAGGTAAACGAACTTTGGTGGGAAAGACGAGAATGGTACTTGTTTGAAAGTAGATTCATTCACTAGCTATGATTTTTTTTTTTTTTTTAATTATGTACATTTCGGCGGAGTCGAAGAAGTTTATTCCAGCATCGAAAGCTTTGTCCAGCAATTGAAAGGACTGAGGCAACGTGTTTTGCTCACCAAACGTCATCGTCCCTGCGAAAAGAAGGCACCAGATAGACAAACAGCATTATGCAATTTGGCATTGACAAAGAAGACATGGAAACTCGACTGGTGAGGAAGTAAATGCAAGTTGGCAGGCAAACCTAAACAAAGTCTAGAAACCGTCATATCAGGAGCGAGATTGAACATCGGAACAGCCATTTACAAGACAAAAATCTACCGTAGCTTGGATAGAGAGTGGGTGTGGGTGACTAGGGGGAAAGAAGGAAAATGCCCTTCGACTTCGCCCGAATTCGTAACTCTCAATGATAAAGAGAGACAGACCAATATTAAGTTGGAGCCTTGGAGGACGGGAATGTCACGCCAATATAAAAAAATTGTGGAGATGCAGGGGATCGAACCCTGTACCTCTCGCATGCAAAGCGAGCGCTCTACCATTTGAGCTACATCCCCAGCGCGCTTCTTTTCATTAATTTTACATTCAGGAGGCAAACTCAGAGTCCATCGAGCACACGCATAAAAGGATCACATTCCTCCTGAGGGTTTACTTTCGCCACCACAGGTTTGAACCCAACCTCGACCCGTTGACACCCTCCCAAGTCCCACCAATGCAAGAGGACAGAATCAAAATTTTTAGGGATAATTTCAGAAACCTCCCCTGAGGTTTCTGACACTTACATTGACATCCCCTGAAGTTCTCAAAATTTCACTGACCTCCCTTGATAGGAAATTGGGCCCATTTTCTGACATCATAAAGGCCAAAATTACAAATATATCCTATGAAGTTGGGGTTTATTACTGCCGTTTAGTTGGAGAAAAAGGCATCTAAAGTGATTAATTAAGCTTAACAACAATAACACAAACTTGATTCTTGATACATGAATTAAAGCTAGATTAGGGAGTAAGGCGCCAATTGAGCTGCAATATTGGCGCCATTTTTGTGCCTGCTGTGATTTGACAAGAAGATAACATATCACTTATATGTGATCTTATATGACATTCTGGACATAGGAAAAGAAAGAGGAAATAACAATAACAAAAATGGAAAGGAAATTGTGATCAAACTAGTGGTCCTGATATGCATTGGAGTATTACTTTCACATAATTAACTTATGTTAAATACAAAACCTATCAGTTTCCCTTTTGTAAAAATATGAGTATAATACTTTTTGAATTTTACTTACAACCATTTATATGTTTAATATAAATTAAATGATTCAGAGTAAAATACTCATAAATATCTATTACTTTGTTTGTGTAATAGAGGAAACCCATAAAGAACTGATATGTTATGGGCAATTTCTTTCTTTTTTTTTACTTTCACGTCTTTAATTTATGTTAAATACAAAACCTACTAGTTTTCCTTTCGTAAAAATACTAGTATATCACTTTTTAAATTTTACTTACAAACATTTATGTATTTAACATCAATTATATGATTCAGAGTAAAATGCCTATAAATAGCTAGTATTTTATTCATTTAATAGAAGAAACCCGTAAAGAACTAGTAAAAAGTGGGTAATTTCTTTTTTTACTTTCACGTATTTAATTTAAGTTAAATACAAAACCTACTAGTTTTCCTTTCGTAATAATATTAGTGTAACACTTTTTGAATTTCACATTTAAATATTTATGTATTTAATATAAATTAAATGATTCAAAGTAAAATGCTCATAAATAGCTAGTACTTTATTCAAATAATGGAAGAAATTCGTAAAGAACTGGTATGTTATGGACAATATTTTTTTACTTTCAAATACTTCATTTATATTAAATACAAGATATGTTAGTTTTCCTTTCGTAAAAAAATTTGTGTAACGGCTTTTGAATTTTATTTGCAAATATTTATGTATTTAACATAAATTAAATGATTCAAAATAAAATACCCATAAAAACCTGGAACTTGGTTCATGTAATAGAGAAAAGCCATAAAGCATTGGTACTTTATGGTATACTTCTTTTTTAAAAAATATTTAATTTATGTTAAATAGATAACCTACTAGTTTTTTTTCGTAAAAAATTACTGTAACACTTTTTGAATTTAACTTAAAAATATTTATATATTTATTATAAATTGAATGTTTGAGAGTAAAATGTCCACAAAAAACTAGGGCTGCGTTTGGATTGAGTGTTTTTGCACCTGTTTTTGAAAAACTGTTTTTCACATTCCAAATGCTACAGTAATGTGTATTTCAAAAACAACTTCAAAAACACCCATATCCAAACAATATATCAAAAACAACTCCAAATATATTTCAATTATGTATATTTAATTTGTATATTTTAATAAGTATATTTAAATTTGTATATTTTAATTATATATTTTAATATGTATATTTCAATTATATTTTAATATGTATATTTCAATTATGTATTTTAATATGTATATTTCAATTATGTATATTATATATATATTATATTAATATAAATATATTTATTTCAATTATGTATAATATTATATATATTATATCAATTGAAATAAATATTATATATTTATATAAATATTTATATATAAATTTATAAATATATTTATTCACTTTTGTTTTATAATATATATTAATATGTATATTTCAATTATGTATATTATACATAAATTATATTAATAATAATGTATATTATATATATTATACATTTCTAATATTATATATTTATACATACATATTATAAATATTTTATTTTATTTATAATATATTTTTATATATTTATAATATATTTACATAAATATTATATGTTATATAAATTATATATAATATAATATATAATATATTATACATTTATATAAATGTACATTTATACATAATATATAAATATTTATGTATATTTATAATATACATTTATATTATGTATAATATATAATATAATACATTTATACATTTATATTAATATACATAATATTAATTTTACATTTATACATAATATTAATACATGTATATATTTATATTAATTATATTAATACATTTCTACATAATATTAATATATATTTATAATTTATTAATTTATACATTTATATAATATTCATTTATAATTTATACATTTTTAATAATATACACTTATACATTTAAATATACATTTATATTATGTATTATATATAATATAATACATTTATACATTTATATTAATATACATAATATTAATTTTACATTTATACATAATATCAATACATATATACATTTATATTAATTATATAAATACATTTCTACATAATATTAATATATATTTATAATATATTAATTTATACATTTATAATAATATACACTTATAATTTATAATATATTTATAATATTCATTTATAATTTATACATTTATAATAATATACACTTATACATTTATAAATATATTTATATTATGTATTATATATAATATAATACATTTATATATTTTTATATGAATATATAAATATATGTATTATAAATGCATATTTGTATAAAAATATAAAATTTATAATTTATACATTTATACATTTATATAATATTCATTTATAATTTATTCATTTATAATAATATACATCTATACATTTGTAAATATAAATGTATTATAAATGCATAAATGTATATTTATATAAAAATATAAAAATTATAATATTCTAAAAATACTCAAAAATATGTTTCAAAAATACCTCAAAAAATAATCCAAAAAAATCTACAGTAAAAGTTTTTCATATAGTTTTTGAAAAACAACCCCAAAAATAACTAATCCAAACGGACTTGTTTTTCAGATTCAAAATGCTACAGTGGTGTTTTTGAAAAACAAACCCAAAAACAGCTAATCCAAACGGAGTATTTTAAATAGGTAATGCCCATTTGCCCATAAACTACATCACCTGAAGTTTATTAATTGTTAATTGTTTGTAGTGCTTTGTCATTCCTTTGCTAATAATAAGATAATTATTTTTTAAAAAAAACCTTATGTAACCCAAGTCAAAATCAAAGAAATGAAAAAAAGTGGTATAGATTCATAAACAAAAAACGCATTAGTCTAATGAGTTTTTGTACAAAATAGCGCATTTCCGAAATGTGTTTTTTTGGTGACATCAAAAAATGCATTATACTAATGCGTTATTTAACCAATTTTCTCTATTTAAATAAATTTATGAAAGTTAAATAACGTATTTAAAAATTACGTTTTTATTTGGAAGAACGCATTCCTTGGATGCGTTTTTCACTCTTTGGAAAGAGACTCAAAAATTCCCACCATTTGGAAAGTTAGTTTGAAAACTCTCTATTTTTGGGAATTTACTCGTGAATTCCATTATTCTCCCCTATGGCTTGAAGAGGCCATGGTTGCAACTAAAACTTTTAACTCAGAGCTCTAATTGCAGCACAGCAAATTCACTTTGTTATCACTCCAAATTAGCAACAAAGAATGATAATAGCTTGAAACCTCAGAGGCAGTTAAGTTGCTTTGCTTTATATGCTATTGCTACTGAATGTGCAAAAATCTGGCCGTTGCAATTTGCAGCTAGCCCTTGCAAAAATTGCCAAATAATTGTTGCATGGCACATCTGGTGCTTACACTTTTTTGTATTACACTTACACCCCTCAACTTTAGTAATCAGTCCAAATCATTTATTCTTCTTTCAATCTTCTACTAATACAAGGGGCAAAAGGGCAGCCATGGAATAAAAATACCTTCTCACACATGAAAATAATATTGTAATATGATTTGGACTGCATTGTTACAAAAAACTCAAAAACAAGAGAGGTCAGTGAAATTTTGAGAACCTCAGGGGATGTCAATGAAAGTGTCAAAAAGGTTTCTGAAATTATCCCAAATTTTTATAAATAAGCCCAGTGACCCAAGAACACTACCTCTTATGAGTTATGACCCTTGTGCCACGATACAATTCCAAAAAGTACACATTAGTTTCGAAAAGCCCGCGCTACTGTCATTGTTAAACTACAATCAAGCACCGAATATCTTATCTGCGACCAAAAACCACAAGGACTCCCCTTTCATATAACATAAAATAGATTAAATTATACAAATATTATCATTATTGAAAAAAAAAAAGCTTGGACGCTTGATAAAAGGATCGCAGCTAACCCCCAAAAAAAAATCTTCAATAAAAGAAAAGGTTTTCCGCTGAAATTGCAATGATGGGCAACCAACGTCGATCCCACACCAAGTGAAACGATAAAAGATTGAACGAGCATCTGATAGCAGTAAAAGATTTGCCAACACTAGGATTGACAGATTCCGTTACGTGTCTTGAAGTCTGCCCCAGAAAAAGAGGCCAAGAGACTAGTTCACAACAATGAAACAGTGAGCGCCATAGTGATAACAAGCTATCAACAATCAGCAGAAAAGAATAACGACGCTACTACCTCCATTCAAGCAATGGCACTCTATCTATCAGCCCCAAAATGCAACAGCATAAATGATGGCTGCTGACCTAAGATTTATTAACTCGGATGAAAGTTAGACAGCTTCTGCACGTCAGAGCCAATGTAACAATCACACAATATCTAAAAATTAAAGCTTCTAAAGTAAACCACACAGACAAAGAAATTGAAATTTGTGTTCAAGAGTCAAACTTAGACATGAAAACTAAACCCTGTACCCAAATGGACAAGAGGTTATATGCAAGACCCCAAAGTTAAAAGTACCGAAAGTTCAACAACACGAAACCCCACATAATGACCAAGCCAAATTGGATGACAAGGTCTCATCCAGGGATTAAACCATTAACCCACAACTAAACCAATAAAGAAAGTCAGACGCCAAAATGTGCGTAGAGCAAATAGAAATCCACAACAGAAACAACAAATGAGTCTCACGGGCAAGAATGAACTTAATATACATACCAAGAAAAGAGAAAATCATAATCACCCCCAGAGACACAAGACGTGAAGACGGTAAAACAATTTGCCAAGTCACCACCAACAAACTGGGTAATCAATCAATGACAACAATAATCATCATTAAACAACCATCGAACATTGCCTCTGCAAACATTTCTGTATCGGAGCATCTCATTAGGAAACCTCCAACCCTCTTATCAGTTTCATGCCACTCAGATAATCGACCAGACAGTGAATTCTAAAGAGAGCAGCAGATTTCCAATAAAGTAATAGAACTTGTAAAATGCCATCTTCACTACTTGTGTATTGAGTCAAAATTAGGGTTTTACAAAGTGACCGGACACCATAAATGCCAGAGGCTACAAACTGAAGAACAGTTCAGCTAGGAGCCTCAATGTATAATAGGTAAACAGAAATTTCTAAAATTCTTGAGACGCAGATCCAATGTCGCCTTTTCCTTTGCCAACCTTTTTGGGTAAAAGATTTTGATGAATGTTAGGCAGGACACCACCGTTTGCAATGGTAACAGCACCCAAAAGCTTGCTTAACTCCTCGTCATTCCTCACAGCGAGTTGTATGTGCCTTGGCACGATCCTATTCTTCTTGTTATCTCTCGCGGCATTCCCGGCAAGTTCGAGAACCTACACAGAAACAGAATCAGGATAAACAATTAAGATTAAATTGCAGAACCCTAATTTTCCCGATCGAGAAAATCCCCAAAAAAAAAAAGAACAAGAGAATTCAAACCAAATCTAGATGTTTTATATGGTTCCCACAACAGGGGAACGAAAATAAAGGGAGAATGAAATCGGTAAAACGTACCTCAGCAGCAAGGTATTCAAGAACCGCGGAGAGGTAGACGGGGGCACCAGCGCCAACGCGTTCAGCATATTTACCGGCTTTGAGGAAACGGGCGATTCGACCGACGGGGAACTGTAGACCAGCTTTCTGAGATCGGGAGACGGATTTAGATGATTTGGGCTTGCCTCTGCCGCCCTTGGTGGAGCCTCCGGTGGAACTCATTGCTGTTTATTCTCCTTTGTCTTTCAAGCGGATTCGGAATGGGAGAAGCGGTGAGTCAGAGGGATGAAACAGTCGGAATGGGAATTGCGCCTGTGAGAATAAAATCTACTGGAATACTTATATAGGAGTGGAGTGCTTAGGAGGCTGTGAGAAGGGTGTAATTTGATTGGTTGAGTGGGAAGGACGCGGATTGCCAACGTGGAAAAAAATTAGTGGGAACAAATTCACCATTTTGGGTTTGAATTGTATTTTCAACCTTTCCCGCGTTAAAAAGAAGCTACATTTTTTCTTTTTATTTTTATCTCTCACCTAGATTAAATAATATTGACCAAAAAGTAACATTACGGAGTTAAATTAATATACTTTGTACATGTTAGGGGACAAAACTATTAAAAGCCCTTTAATAGTACTTTTTTGACGTAATTGACTTTTAACTTACAAATTACTTGCTGTTAGCATCAATGAAAAGTCTAGGTGGTCAAGTAACACATAAACAACCACCACCCATAACTTAAAATCTAGGCGATGAAGTAAATAAAGTTAACAGTTCAGCTAATGTTAGAGATTTTAAATTCAGATTTCCAGATGTGAATTTAGTATAACTTTTTATCTTGTAATAATTTACAATTTTGATTTCAAATTCAGTTTGTTTGGATTGTAAGTTATTTGAGATATTTTTACTGTAGCACTTTTTGTGATGTGATGTATGTGAGATAAAAAAGTATATCAGAAATTGTAATGATGATGTAAGTAAATATATTTGAAAAAATAATCAGCTGTCCAAACAAATGTGAACGTAATGTGCAAGTTCTATCTCACAATTGCGGGTTAATTGTGTGTTAGCATGCAAAAATTTTTGAAGAAAAAAGGGGACACGATTACTGGTATGACCCAATAAAAGCTTGTATGTAACGTCAAATTCCAATTTCTCTATGGACTTTAGTTTGGTAAAACTCATTTGAGTTAAATAAGAGGCACCATTAGATCACAAAAAATTACAAAACCGAACCCATAGTCGCATACAACAGATCAAGGTTAAATCTTGAGCCGAAATAACTGCTACACCTGAATTGCGGGGAAAGATTGATTAGAAAAAAAAAAAAAAAAAGAGTATACTGTGCTTAATATCACATAATTGAAGTTGTTTTAACCACACGAGAAGCAACAACCTTTGATACCGAACTAGTTGTAACACTTTGGGATACCCAACGCTACTCACTCCCCATATTGAATTGACTTGCGAGATGAGAGAGTTCATAACTAAATACCAACCAATTAAAATCTGACCAAAATAATAAATAAGAGATTGTCTTGTTCATTTGGGACTCTCATTGCGTTTCTTCCCGTTTTTCCAAAGGCACTCTGCATTTTAAGAAAATGTATACTGTGATCTATAATCACCACAACCCAGAAGACTAGAACTGGGCCATCAACTTAATAGATGGATCAAAAAGATGGGGATTCGTACAAATTCAAAGAGATTACACGTGAACAATTGCGTGCCAATGAGAACTGGAAAACAAATACTCCACTCTATATCATTGCATTAGCCGAAGTATATGAACATCAAACCAAACCAATTACTACCAGCCAGGTCTTACATCACTTCATATTTAACAAAATATTTCACTCCCACCTTTAATAAGTTCTCCACTGGTCATAGCATCCCCAGAATCCTACTTCCTAACATCTATGATCTCCTACCCTATTTATATATATCTTCGCCGTAGAGAGCCCTAAAATTCCTGGGACACGGAGCCGATCTCTGCCTTCCCACCGGCAGCCTTCTTGGGCAGCAGATTCTGATGAATGTTTGGCATAACCCCTCCATTGGCAATGGTCACAGCTCCAAGCAACTTGCTCAACTCTTCATCATTCCTCACCGCCAACTGAATGTGCCTGGGTATGATCCTGTTCCTCTTGTTATCTCTAGCAGCATTTCCAGCAAGCTCCAGCACCTGAAAACAATTCCCAACTTTACAAATTAAAAAAAATCTGGAAACATCACTAGTTACTTACAGGAAACGAGAGAGCTATAAGTTCCGAACCTCAGCTGCAAGGTATTCCAGAACGGCGGAGAGGTAAACCGGTGAACCAGAGCCAACGCGCTGGGCATAACGGCCTTTCTTGAGGAATCGAGCAATCCGACCGACTGGGAACTGGAGACCGGCCTTCTCAGATCTGGACACCGATTTGGAGCCTTTGCCCTTGCCTCGGCCGCCACCGGTGGATTTGGTTGCTGTTGTTATTGAGCTCATGGTTGCTGAATGACAAGGGAAAAAAAATTAATAATTAGTACTGGCTTTTCTCCGGAGGTGGAGGTTGAGATTTTTTGAAATTGGGGAATTCGCGGGATGTGGGACTGAGGTTTGAGGGAGGGAACGTTGGGGCGTTTATATAGGAGAGAGTGGGGGAGGCATTGTCGACTGCGATTGGTTCATTTGCATTTCACGGGGATTGCCAACCTGGATGGATCCTATCTCTTCTTTAAGGTCGTTCACGTGTATTCATCTTACTGGCTAACATAATTTCACAAGGATTGCCAAGCTGGCTTCGACGGAACGATTTCCTGGGATGTTTTCAGCTCTAAAACTCCAACAGCGTTTGAATTAGATGTTTTAAAAAAATTTTACTATAACAGTTCGTATAAAAAACTTTCATTATAAATATTTTTTGAAATATTTAATATATCATATAAATGAGATATTTTTTGAGTTATTTTTATTTATATATTATTATAATATTATATTTTAAAATTTTATTTTAAAAAAAATGGCCAATTCACGCGGAATAACTAATTTTATATTTTCCCTCCTACAGTTTCGTTTTGATTTAACATTTTTGCAATTACCGCCGATATTCAAAGATTGAAAGTTATGTGGGCTTGCACTTAGGCCCATAAATCCTAGCGTGGATCTGGATGGGAAAAGGTTGTTTTGCTAATTGGATTCTAGACAAGCTCCAGCCCAATTTCACTATAATTTTTTGTATGTCGTTTCATTGTCATATGCATGTGGGATAAGCACACCCTATGGGTGTGCAAATTGAGAAAAAAAAAATTTTAAGTTATTTTTATTAAAATCAATGGAAGTTATTAGAATTTTTTTTTTGCCAAAAAAAAGAAGTTATGAACCTTTCACAAACAAATAAAAAATTAAATTAAAAAAAAAAAAACTCGAGCTATTTCCCTCTCTTGGTAACAGGGATTTACAATTACAAGAGAAGGATGGTTGTTGAGGGAACAAGCTCTGCTTTGAGACTTTTCAAATTAGCTCTAGCCCCATGGGCCATGAGGCACAATGCAACCTGCATATGACCGGCCTCGACCGCCAGGTGAAGTGGGGTGTATCCAATATCATTTACCTTATCCACCTCAGCTCCATGGTTGATCAGGACCTTCACGCTCTCTATCCGACCCTTGAATGCAGCTCTGTGCAGGGGAGTCCAACCATTTTGATCCCTGGAATTCACCTTCGCCCCTTGGCCCAAACAATTCTTGATCGCTTCCACGTCGTCTTCCGTCCTCGCCGCTCTATGCAAATCATCGCCTAAACGTAACATATTGTACATATGAGTCTGCTCCTCATCCTTGGCCAGATCGAACGCCGTCTTTCCTTCTTTTGTTACAGCATATTTAGCGGAAACTGAATGCTCCAACAAGAATTCGACGGCTTCGACGTGGGCTTCCGTGTAGCATAATGAAGCGGAGCCCATCCTTTGCCATCGACGACATCAGGATCGCTCCCTTCTGATACAAGAAATCGAACAACGTCAAGGTGTCCGTGATGGGCAGCTAAATGAAGAGCAGTTTGCCCCCGGGAGTCAGTCGAATTCATATCAATATCTGAATAACCCAGACACAAGATTTCCAATATGTCCAAGCGGTTCATAGCCGCCGCATCGTGTAAAAACAGATCAACTGAATGCTCCATTGAATAACCTGACTCAATCAAGACCTGGACAACACCAATATTTCCAGACTTGACGGCCAGGGACATGGCGGATTGCCCCTCTTTGTCCCTGTCGTTAACATCTGCACCGGCTTCAATCAGGGCGGATGCCACGTCCGCGTTTCCGCGCCTGGCAGAGCACCGAAGCAGCGAAGTGAGCTGCCTTCTGTCACACCAAAGGATGGCTTTGGATAGAAGAAAAGCGACTTCCAGGGACTTGGGCGAGGGCGCGAGAATCAGAGACTCCACCACATGAGGTCCCACGAAGGAGACGGGGAGCGCAGCATCCCTGAAGATGTGGGGGCCCGGTTTGGAGAACAACTGGCGGAGGTCATCGTGATGGGCCTTCCCCGTGGGAAGCATGGATGACCGGACGAGGACGCTGTCTGGAGGTGAAGAGAGGGGAGGCTGGTCAGAATATATACCAGTCGGAGTATGAGACAAGGAAAGAGTGAAAGCGGAAGTAGAAAGAGGTGGGATGACGGAGAAAGGTTGCGAGAAGTTGAAGAGCGATGGATTGGTGGTGGTGAGAGAAACGGCGACGGACATGGTATGCATCAGGTTGGTTAACTTGAAGGTTGCACAGCATCTTCGGCCTCTGGCGAAGGGCAGGCAGAGTTCTTGCAAGTCTGGCTTCACCAGTCGGTCCATGGCCTTGTTTGCCTGGACAAGATCTGGGGCTTGGTTGGGTTTGGAATGATTTTGGTCAAGAAAGGAGGTGAAGAAAACGAGTGCAAAATGATCACGAGAGCCATCTTATTTACCTATTCTTTTTTTTTTTTTTTGGGTTAAATAAAGGAGGGATGAGTAAGGAGTGACAGTGACGGGAGGATCAATTTGCTTTCTTTAATTTAATATCTTGGATGATTCCGTTATGTTATTATGTCCATCTCTTTCTTTTTTCCTTCTTTTTAATCCTCCGTTTTTTCAAACTAGTCTAGAGCTCAACCGTGGCTTTCTGAATGAGTTACTGTGCAAATATTATTTAGGTAATCGGTCAGTTCCATGAATTTTAGTAAACCGCTGGTGTTTAGTGGGTCACTTGCGGTGACAGAGAAGAGACAAGAGTAGGCAACAGGCTGAGGATCTGTTATTCAAGTATTCGTACTTCACTAATGGGCATTATGTGGAATGAAGAATCCAAAACTATACAGCATTTGTACACGTATACATTTCCAACGATTCAGATATATGCTCCGCACATAATTAACATACGCTACTTTTTTTTTTCATAATACTATAGGTGTCAAACAAATCCGTTTAATTGAGTATAAATAGATTATTCAATAATATTCATTGAATAAATGGATATAATTGATAATTTACTAAATTCAATTAACTCATTTATTTAGGATTAGTTTTCAAAGCCTCATTTGTTCCCCCCACCACCTTTTTCTTCTTCTACTCCTTCTTCTCCGCCAGTCCACGCAAACGAAAGCTTAATTGTCGACCTTGACTTCCATTGTTCTTATGCATGCATGTGTGCTTTAAAGTTTAATCTCCTCGCTTGAGTATCAAAAGTATTCCCATTCCCAAGCCCCACATCATTGTTCATAGCTTGCTTCGTTATGAAATCAAAGTGCCTCCATAATTGAGTGAAGATAGAACAATTCCACGTCTAGGACTTTTGTCTTTTTTTTTTTTTTTCTTTTGATCTACTTCTGCTTGAATTCAGGGAATCTTTTATTTTTTCATGCATTAATATTGCTGAAACATTGCATATAATGGAATGTTTTAATTTTTGAGTCTTAGCAAATATTTGATGCATTTTTTACGCAGATAGATATCCTACTTAATTTTTTTTTTAGATTCTTCATTTTGACATGCTGTTAACTACTTTTGTTTCGTTTATTATTATTATTTATTGGTTTTATTTTATCATTTTATTTTCTCATAGTTCGTTAACTTGCTTGTTTTTAAGCATTGCCAATTTATGACAAACTTTAACCTCTTTTCTTACCTTCCCAAAATAAAATTTTAAATTCACACATAAAAAAATGCTAGGGTTCAAAGTTTTTGGATTAAGTTTTTCTGTTCAATTCATAGTACTTAGTTCAAATTTTTATATTCTTATTGTTAAATTATTAAATAGTATGTAATTTGCAACATAGAGCACGGATGGGAGAAAATGGTTATTAGGCTTATTAAGTAGTATAAGTAAATATTTAAAACTAATGACGGGTGCAAATGGTGGTATAAATTGATACTTTAGTTTGCAAAAAATGAATTTAAATTAGTTTACAAAAAGTTAAAATAAACGGGTTATAAATAGGTAATTGGGTTGCCCAACTCATTTTTTGACTAGCATATTCATACTCATATAATTAAATGAATATAAATGAGTTGATTCACTTGTACCTATTACCCATTTCAACCCACCCAAATCACTCATTTTGACACCTCTACTTGCTACATATACGCGTATGTATAACTTAGAGCTACATACACTTTGTCTAAGACTACAATTGCAGTTATTCATTGTTCTAGAGATGGCAAATGGGAGGAATTTGGGGCGGGACTTAATTGGAATTGCAAAATATGGACTATATCTAGACAGTCCTTTATTAGACAGGGGACCAATATGAGTTGGACTGAAATGGGTTAAACCCATTTTGATCGCTCCCAAATACCTAATAAACCCCCTTTTTTTTCAAAAAAACTCTTTATTCCTCAATCGTTTCCTTTTTATGTCATTTAGTTTACTATTTATTTAACTTTGTAAAAGTTCCACGCTCTTCCTTATATATATTGTGCAATAATTTTTCAAACTAAATCAAATTCACTAGATATTAAAATCATAAAAGACCAACTTCATATGAGTGGATGAATTTTTTTTGTTTCTTTTGAGTTCATGCTGATTGTATGCATCCATCAGAAGAACTACAATTGTAACTGTATGACGTTAAATAGATAAAATTCTCCGTTTTGATAATTCTTGGGCCTGATGGGCTATAATTGATGATGGACTGTAGAGATCAACAACTCCACCACGTTGACCAGACCCACCCATCTAATTGTGAAGGATTCCCCGTTAAAAGAGTACTAAGAAAATCATGGAGATGGTTGGAATTCTACATGCAACTACACCAATAGACTTCCTGTCAGGAGGCCAATTTGGTGGGAGGCAGCTAAATCAATTAGAGATTTAGAGTACTATTAACGTTCTCAGTTTAGATACACATCTTTTGACAGAACAAATGATCAGGGGCCTTTTTTATAAGATCATACTTCCATAATCCTGTTTGTGGAACTTAGGCCCGTTTGGCAAATGAATTTTTTGGTGTGTTTGTTTAAAACTTTACTGTAACTTACTGTAGAAGTTTTTTAAAAAAAATTTGAAGTGTGTTTTTTTTTTTTAAAAAATATTTTGAAGTGTATAGTTTAAAAACTTTGAAAAGTTTTTTGAGATTACTGTAACTACAATTTTTAAAAAACTTATAATAGACAAACTTGGCAAAAAACTTGTCTGCCAAACAAGCGATGGTTAACTAATTAATACTCTTGTAACTCATTGATGAACTGCAAAAAGGTCTCTTTTGGAGTTGCCATGATGACAAATAAATGTGAGTTGTCAAGTTTTGTATGCTAATGTCCTCCTACGTTGCTCCGAAAGGGATGGAATTATTTGTTTTTGGTAAGGAGAGGGATCAGAATTGACTAATTCAATTATTTGGAAGCGCTATCTATATTGATCTGATCAAGTGCTAAATTAATTTAGCTTTTCCCCGAAATAACCATCCCCCTTCATATTGAGAAGTGGGAACCAAAAATAAAAAATAAAAAAATAAAAACCACCCCTTCTCATTTTGGGAAGGGTTCATGGCAGTAGTAGAAGTGGGTTCGGCTTAAGGCTCTCAAGGTAGCAATCTGACCTCTGCATGATATTGAACAAACAGCCATATATATATATATATGTAGACGCATGCGCAGAGACTTTCATGTGCAGGACTTTAATCAAGATGGGTCTACTAGTTAATTTGAGCTTTTGTTTAGGTCCAAATTGTTGCTGGGTCCAAGTAATTCACAAGGTTTGGTCTCAATATTTTCGTGCTGAGGTCAAGGTATCCCGCCCAATGAATACATCTAATCCTGAGAGAGACAAGGAATCCATAAAAATCTGCCCATAGATTATATTGATGGATCATTCCAAGAGAAAAACAACTGACATTTTGATGGTTAGGTCAGGTTCACCAGTAACTGGGCTGTGCTCCTCTATCATCTTGATTGCCTTGTGGGGCTTCTCATGTGGAAAGCATTGCCTGTGAAATTAGTCTGCTTTTTTTGGACTGGGCGGATGCATGGTTGTGCGGGTGCCAATCCTGTCTTTGGCAGATGCTTGAGTTGGCGTTGGGCTTATACCAGATGTCAATCGACCTCAGCATGCTCAGATGGCTAGCCTTGAGCCTTTTTTTTTTTTTGGGAAAAGATAAAACCAATTTCATGCTACAAGGCTTCTTTGAAAGCCAGTCGGGGACGGGACCATGCCACGGTGTTACAAATCATAACAAGCCCAAAGAATTTTGAGTAAATATTAGTGCATATACTATTATCGTTTCATTCATGATACACGTGTAAAAATTGAATTTTAAATTTAAATTTTATTTGATTATCATTTATTCAACGCTGATAATACACTGTCAGTATAAGAAAGATTAATTCAAAAATTTGATGCTAGAGAAATTAGAGGCAAACCATATTAATTAATTAGATTTTAATGTAATACATGTTAAATCTATATTCGTTCTCTATTTACTCGGATGCAACTAATTCATAATACACTAGAAATGAAAAATAGAATACTTGTCGGACGAGATTTGAATTCCTGAAGCAACAAACAAACATGGTGATTAGTGACCCTAAAGCCTAGCTACTAAATATAATGAAAACCGGAGAAACCTCTAATTATGCACCACGTACGCCTGGAATATTAATTTCAATTTGCTGAAGAAAAAAAACAATGACGAGCCCATCTTCGTCTGCCACGTGCCATAAACGTCTTCATATATAAAAAAAAAATCTTCTTTTTTCTCGTGTAATTTGAAATGAAATATCAGAGACGTGTTTGTGGATGTTATATATATATACTTTAAATGGGAAAAAAAATTGTTAAAACTATTGATCAGCTTGACTTCTTTTTTTTTTGGTTGGGGGATGGGATTGTGGGGGGGATTAAAAAATAGTAGCAGTAGCTAGTTTAGAAAGAATAATATGTTAAACTGCTAGTAGCCGTATAAGAAGATGCCTCCAAAAATCAAGTTCAATGAATTGAAGGAAAAATATTTGACTGAATTTATGCAGTCAATAAACAATACCTGACCAGATGGAGTCGTCGGATATCTCCAGTGACGTAGTATTTCCTTGTCAGTTTCTTCTTGCGTGTCAAATTTATCTTCCATTACGGATACACGTTAACAGCCACGATTTTCTCGGCCGACTGACCTACGAGGAAAATCAGAAAATCGAAGAGTAGGGTCGCATCGCGTGAATGGTGAATCCATAAATTAACTCGACGGCCCGGAGCACTCAAACTCGAAACGAAGAAAGTTCATTCAAGGTGCATTTCACCTGGCTGGAGAATGCAAAAGTATAACACATACGGGAGTGTATTTATTTTCTACACGGCAGGGCGTCGACTAAAATATTTTCTCTCGTATAATTTCCGCATACAACAATTAATTTGTTTTACGTGGACACCTCGGCTTGCCCGAATTCTATTAACCTATTCACTTCCTATTAACAACGGACATCTCATCTCAGACATCTCCTGACGAGGTGATCGACGAACGAGGTTACTCTGAAGAGGCGTTACACCTTGTCTGCCCCCGTGTTCAAGACTATCGACACCTTGACTATTTGCGTGATTTGTGATTGATGGAGTGATTTGGCCACCAGCCACCCTACTTGTCAGACCTACACTCGACACCGTCGCCCTATACTGTCTCGTAATATCGGGTAGAAGGTAGATCTCATCATTCCATCTATAGGCACAACTATTATAAATACTCATCTAATACTCCAAAATGAGAAGCAAAATTTAACCTACGTATTCAATTCCCGAACTGTATCTAAATTAAACATCGAAGTGAGATCAGGGAACAAGACCCCGTCTACTCCTCGTTTGGCAAGTGAGTTCGTGCATTCGTGACTTGAGGGTGCTCACCTCGGCAACCCCCATGTCCGAGGTGAGCTCACCTCGTCCCTCATGTGAGCTCATCCGTGCCCTTGGGCATACCCCCTAAGCTCGGCCACATCCCCAGTCTACCGTGTAGGTGACTTCGGCAATGCACCTCAGCTGCACGCTGATGATGCCAAGACACCTGACATCACCCGGGATCAGTGCTTTATCTGAAAAGCACTGTCGCACTTAATGACTACTGCGAAGGACTCCGCGTCACCCTGTCCAGGCGGCTACAGTGTCAGGATCAGGCCACCTGACAGGGAGCAGAGCCGTAATGGCAGGGCATGGGTCCCATCGGCATAAGACCTCCATCCTGCCCTCCACTCTCGCCCTATAAATACCCCACACACTCCCAACAAGTAAGCATACTGTTCATTTGACAATACCACTGCTTTTCTCTCGTTCTCATACTAACTTGAGCATCGGAGTGATCCCAGGGGAGAAGCCCCGCCATTCACTTCGGACACACAGATACAGCTCACCTCAGAAGAGGCTGATTTCGGCTGGTTCAACCGCCTCCCAAAAATCACCTCCTCAATTGGCGCCGTCTGTGGGAACGAGACTGCTATTATCAAAATGAGATCCACGCGCTCTAGAAGCGGAAGAGTTCCCTCAACTGGGGCTGGGCAGACCTCGGGAGCCCAGCAAGATCGCATCTCTGAGGAACAAGGGTCCCAAAGGACCCAGCCCAACAACGAAGACGCCATCGCCAAGATGGCGGAGTTCGTGTCAGACAACCCCAACATTTTTGAGGAACTAGGAAGATACCTCAAAAGGCAAGGGAAAGAAAAAGCCGAATCTTCCAAGAGGAGACCGACGAAATCTCCTGAAGTGCCCTCAGGTGAGGACTCCGATGAGGGGCGTCTCTCTCGGAGTACCTCTAGGCGCGCCTCCTCCAAGGCAACCTCTAAAATAGCCTCCATCTCCTAGGCGTTTTCCCGAGGACTGTTGGGGAAACGGGCCGAGGACCCATCTCGGCGCCCCGGAGGCCTAGCTGCTGACTACATGAGGGCTCCGCCCTTCACTGATGACATCAATGGGGAGATGGTGCTCCCAAACTTTAAGCTTCCAAATTTACACACCTATGACGGCCGAGGCGACCCCGAGGATCACCTCCGTGCCTTCATCTCCGCTTTCCGCCTCTACTGTGTCCCCGACGCTGTGATTTGTCGAGCTTTCCCCATCTTCTTGCATGGGAATGCCCGAAAGTGGTTCTGGAGTTTAGAACCGGGGTGCATTTCCTCCCTGGATGAACTGATAGACCGGTTCATCCATCGCTTTGTGTCGTCTCGACCAATAACAAAGACTTCAGCTTACCTCTTGAACCTGCAACAGGGTCAGGGCGAGTCACTTCGCTCGTACGCCCAAAGGTTCAACGAGGAAAATGTACAGATACCTGACCAGAACGAGCAGGTAACTATCGCTGCCTTCACCAATGGGTTAGTGGCAGGGATCTTCAACACCGAAATCCATCGGCAGTACCCCCATACACTTCGGGAGCTCTGGGAAAGAGTGGACCAGGGAATCCGAAGTGAAGATGTAAATCGCATGAAGCGAGAAGCCCAAGCATCTCGTACGGGGCAAGATCCCCGGAGGAGGAAAGACACAGGCCGAGGTGAACAAGGCCCAAGTGGCACTTCAAACCAACTCCGAGACCGCCGGAGTGTCTTCGATCGAATCGTAAAAGGCAGAACGTCCACCTCGGACGCCGAGCTGACACCCCTCAATTCGAGCCGGACCCATGTCCTGGCTGTGATGAGGCAGAATCACCTCGGCCGCAACCCTCCCGAAATTCCGGGGAGGAGAGATAAGAGGAACTCAAACCTCTATTGTGCCTATCATCGGGATGTTGGGCACGAGACCGAAGACTGTAATGATCTGAAGCGAGAGATCGAGAATTTGATCCGGCAAGGATACCTGAAGCAATTCGTCCGCAAGGATGGAGGCTTCAACCGAAGCGTCTCCCACCGGAAGAACCGGGGCCCCCGCCGAGACGACCGACGGGACACGAACATGCATTGCCGGGGTCCCGAAAACCGTAGGGAGGACAAGCAGCCTCCACGCGATGGATCACCGGGCTACGGCCCCAACATCGCTGGGGTGATCAACACCATCGCGGGAGGACCAACGGGAGGAGACAGCCAGAACTCCCGGAAGCGGACCTACCGCCAGGCCAAGATGGAGGTGGCCGAGCCGAGCTCTCGGCTGTCCGAGGTCATCACCTATGGCCCCGCTGACCCCGTTCCTGCGGCCTCCAGCAATCACGAGGCTCTTGTGATTGAAATTCTCACCAACAACTACGTAGTCAAAAAGGTCTATGTTGACCCCGGAAGCTCGGTAGACGTCTTGTACTACCGAACTTTCGAAAGTTTGAAGCTGACCAGGGAGCAACTCACTCCTGTCAGAACTCCCCTCGTGGGATTCGGGGGACACGTCGTCCACCCGGAGGGCATGTTGACCCTGATGGTAACAATCGGGCGTCATCCACGCTGCCGAACTGTGCCTGTCAGTTTTGCGGTGGTCAAAGCAGACCCCCCCTACAATATGCTGATAGGCCGGCCCACGCTCAATGCCTTGAGAGCCGTATACTCCACCTACCACCTGAGTTTTAAATTCCTAACACCTGCGGGGGTGGCCGAGGTAAGCAGTGATGTGGGCGCCGCCCGGGAGTGCTACCTCGCCACCATTCAAGCAGCAGTCACACCCCGACCCTCACCGAGGTCAGAAGAAAAGAGGCCAGCGGTCCTCTCCATAGACTGCATCGACCCTCAGAAGGCAGGAGACCCCAACAGGCTGGAGCCCGGGGATGAGGTGGAACTGGTGGTCTTGGATGAAGCGAAACTTGACCAAGTGGTCCAAGTAGGGGCTGGACTCCCCTCACCCCTGAAAGAAGAAATGATCTCCCTGATAAAAGACCACCGAGACGTCTTCGCGTGGTCCGCGGATGAAGTGGTCGGAGTGCCACCCGAGCTCATGACTCACCAACTCAACGTTGACCCACAGGCCCGACCTGTGCGACAGAAGCGAAGGCACTTCGGCCCCGAACATAGCAAGGCCATATCGGATGAGGTCGACAAGCTCTTGCCGGCCAAAATGATCCACGAGATCCAATATCCCACCTGGTTGTCCAATCCAGTCATGGTCAAAAAGGACACCGGTTGATGGAGAATGTGTGTAGACTTCACCGACTTCAACAAGGCCTGCCCCAAAGATTGCTACCCTCTGCCGAGGATAGACGCCCTCGTCGACACGGCGATGGGGTATGAAGTCCTCTGCTTCCTGGATGCCTTCAAAGGGTATCATCAAATAGGAATGAGTGAGGAGGACCAAGAGAAAACGGCGTTCTACACCGACCGAGGTACCTACTGTTACACTACCATGCCCTTCGGGCTAAAGAACGCCGGGGCGACCTACCAAAGGCTGATCAACCGACTCTTCAAGAATCAGATCGGCCGCAATGTGGAGGCCTATGTGGATGACATCCTCGTCAAAAGTCTCGCCACTTCATCCTTTCTGTCAGATGTGAGGGAAGTCTTCGGTGTCCTGCGAGACTCGAGGATGAAGCTGAATCCCAAGAAGTGCGTCTTCGGCGTCACCTCGGGAAAATTCTTGGGGTATCTGGTTTCCCACCGGGGAATCGAGGCCAACCCCGACAAGGTGAAGGCCATTCAGGACATGTCCCCACCTCGTAACATCCGAGAAGTCCAACGGCTGAATGGACGCCTGGCCGCGCTGAATCGCTTCCTGTCCCAATCAGCCGAGAAAGCTCTGCCTTTCTTTAAGGTGCTGAAAAATGCTGACCAGTTCGCCTGGACTGAGGAGTGTCAGGCTGCTTTCGACCAGCTGAAGCAGTACTTGCATCACCTACCAACTCTCGCTTCATCTCGGCCCGAGGAGAAGCTCTACCTCTACCTCTCCGCAGCCGACGAGGCTGTCAGCGCTGTGCTCATCCGAGATGAGGGCACCCAAGTGCCGGTCTACTACGTCAGCCGAGCCCTCCTCGGGCCGGAGACCCGATACACGCAAGTGGAAAAACTTGTGCTGGGGCTCGTCCACGCAGCTCGGCGGTTGAAACCCTACTTCTTAGCCCATCCCATCTCGGTCAGGACCGACCAGCCCATTCGGCAAATATTGGTGCGACCCGAAGCTTCTGGTCGCCTCACCAAGTGGGCTGTCGAATTGGGAGAATATGACTTGTCCTACGAGCCACGCACCGCCATAAAAACTCAAGCTTTAGCTGACTTCCTTGCTGAGCTCACCTTCACGGAAGGTCCGGAGTCCACTTCATCCTTACCCGAGGTGTCCACCTCATCCCTGTGGACATTGTATGTCGATGGATCCTCAAATGGAGACGGCTGCGGAGCCGGACTGCTCCTGGAAGGACCTCAGGGGGAGGTTGGCTCTTACGCCCTCCGCTTTGACTTCCCGGCCACCAACAATGAAGCCGAGTACGAGGCTCTAATCGCTGGACTCCAGCTAGCCCGCAACCTCGGCGCCCAGCAAATCCACGTCCGCAGTGACTCCCAGCTCGTGGTACGCCAAGTTATTGGTGAGTACGAGGCCAAGGATGAGACCATGCAACGGTACCTCTCCAAAGTTCACCAACTCACCGCGTACTTCAAGTCATTCGACATCCAAAGGATCCCTCGGTCCCAGAATAAGCGAGCCGACGCCTTATCCCGGCTGGCTTCCACTTCATTCTCTGACCTCAACAAAACCGTCTTGGTGGAGGTCCTGAGTGAACTAGGGTACGTGGAAGAGGTGGCCTGCCCCGTGCACTCTGAAGAAACTTGGATGACCCCGTTCATCCTTTTCTTGGGTCAAGGAGTCCTTCCCGAAAACCGAGCTGAAGCAAGGAAGATACAACGCAAAGCCGCTCGGTATGCACTCCGCGATGGAGAACTATATAAGCGCTCCTACCTCGGCCCATGGTTGAGGTGTGTCACCCCCGAGGCAGGACGCGAGGTCCTCCACGAGATCCACGAGGGCCTATGTGGGGCTCACATCGGCCACAGGATGCTAGCTAAGAAAGCTATGCTCCTGGGATATTTCTGGCCATCACTTCGGCAAGACTCCCAGGACCTCGTTTTCGGCTGCCCTTCCTGCCAAGTCCACGCACCCGAGCGCCACCAGCCTTCAAACTTCATGGTCCCCATCATTTCACCCTGGCCGTTTGAGCAATGGGGGACAGACATCATAGGTCCCTTCCCCAAAGCCGTCGGGGGTTACACATTCTTAGTAACCGCTGTGGATTACTTCACCAAGTGGGTCGAGGCCGAGCCACTTCGGACCATCTCAGGGCTGGCCATTCAAAAATTCTTTTGGAAGTGCATTATCTGCCGCTTCGGCATACCGCGGGTCATCATCTCGGACAATGGGAGACAGTTTGCCGAGAACCCGTTCAAGACTTGGTGCGAGAACCTCGGCATCAAACAACACTTCACTTCGGTAGGCCACCCCCAGGCCAATGGTCAAGCAGAAAACTTCAACCGGACTCTTCTACATGGTCTCAGGACCCGACTACACCGCGTTGGGTCATCTTGGGTGGAGGAACTCCCCAGTGTCCTGTGGTCGTATCGGACCACGCCGAGGTCAGCGACGCAAGAGACCCCATTCTCCCTGACCTACGGCGCCGAGGCGGTCATCCCGGCTGAGATCCTTACCCCCAGCCCTCGGCTGGCAGCCTATGCCGCCGAGGTGAACGACGAAGAGAGGCAGCTGGACCTCGACCTCGTCGAAGAACGAAGGAATCTCGCCTCAGCCCGGATAACTTCTTACAAGAACACACTGGCACACTACTACAATGCCCGCGTGAGACATCGTAGATTCCAACCTGGAGACTTGGTTCTTAGAAAAAACTCAGTCAGCCGAGCTGAACCGCAAGGGAAATTATGCCCGAAATGGGAAGGCCCTTACCAAGTTGTGGAATCTGACGCTAAGGGGTATTGTAAACTGAGTTATCGAGATGGCTCATTAGTGCCGAGGTCTTGGCACGCCGAGAACCTCAGATTGTATTACGCCTGAATTTTTAATCAAGTAATGACTTCAGCTATCATGTTATTCTTCAATATCGTTGTTACGCTATTAAAAAATAAGGGGGACAAGCAAGGGATGAAGTCAAAGTAAGAAATTAAAGCACTGAGACGAAAAGAAATATGCTTTCATTCAATAAGAAAGAGCGTTACAAAAGTACAAGGCCGAGGTCCGAATGCTACTAAGCACTCTCCACCTCGGCCACCCCCTTAAAACCGCGAGCCTAGACCCCCGTCTCGGCTCCATCCCCGGTCTTGGCTCCCTCCTGGGCATCCTTCTCTTCGGCCTCTTTTCCGTCGGGGTGAACTTCATCTCCATGCTCTTTGCCGACGTCCCCTTCGGCTTCGTCTCCCTCAGCGTCCTCTCCTCCAGCTTCTTCCACTTCCACGTCCTCGAACACTTCGTCGAGTTCGGACAGCCACTTGTTGAACTCGACCTGGACTTCGGCCAAATTCCTTCCTGCCTGAATGCCTTCGGCCATCCGATCGCATAACTCCTTGGAGTCCTCATTGTAGCTGGTATGGTTTTTTAAGGACTCCAAGGCCTCGGTGGAGAGGTGAGCTGCGGCCTCGTCAACGGCCGATGTGAAGCCAAACATGAAGTTAGGCGTAAGTAGTTGGCCGAGGTCCTTGATGAAGGCCTCGGACTTCCGAAAAGCGTCTACGGCCGAGGCTCCGGCACCCTCGAGAGCTTGCTCGTGGGACGCCTTCACCTCGTCCCCCCTCTTCTGCTCCTCTTCGAGGGCCGATCGGAGACTGTTGATAGTAGCCGCGGCCTCCTCATCCTTCACCCCGGCCTCCTTAAGCCGCCTTTCAAGCTCGGCCTTCTCAGACTCGGACACCAACAGTTTTTTCTCCAACTTGGAGATTTGATTCTGCAACTTGCCGGTGTCCTGTTCCTCGACCAGAGCACAGTAGCGGTGTGCCATCTCGGCCACAAAGGCCGAGGTGGAAGCTGTGGACACCATGAGACTTTGAACCATTTCGGCCGGGCTCAGCTTCTTCATGAACTCCAAGTCCCTCGGCAGGGGGGAGTGCATCACTAGTTCTTGGGCAACCCGAGGATGCTGGCACCTGTCGTTGACCGAAATTTTCCAGTCCGGACACCAATGCCCGCCGGGGTGCGCCTTATCGTCTCCGGGAAACACTGGGGGGCTATGGAAACGATTCCATAGCGAGGTCCCCGACACCGGATTAACTGGAGGCTTCAGCTGCTTGCCTCGGCCAGAAGGAGGTGTGACTGTTGTAACAACTCCAAGGGGAACTCCCTCTGGCACAGACGAGGTGGACCCAGTAGCCGCCGTGGCCGACCTGCTCTAGCCAACCTTGGTGGGAGTGCCTTTAGACGCCGAAGTCTTAGCGGCTGGTCCTTGTGACTTCTTCTTCTTTGGCGGAGGTGCCGATGTCTCGTCAGTGCTCTTCCTCTTCTGCCTCTTGGCCACTTCGGACGAGCCAGAGACGACGAGGTCGGACAGTTTAGTCACTGCACAAAAATAAATATTATCATATGCCTTAACCGAAGTGAAAGCAAAGCTACGAAAGAAAAATTACAAGGTATCTCAAGTTCAGTGGAAAGGAAGGGGGGCTTGGTAGTATTGATCACGGCTCGACTTATCCCCCCATCCACGAGCACGGCTTCGGGGTAGTCATGGCTGAACAGCCGAAGTCCCGACTTCATCAACTTCTGGAAGGATTCCTCTTCGGCATCCCCCGCAGAGGGGTCGGCCTTCGCCTTAATTGGCCTCCACCAAAAACCCCTCGGGAAGTCCACTCCGGACACGAAGAAGTAGTCGCGCTTCCAGTTCTTGATCGAACTGGGAGCACCGATCACCAACTTCGGGATAGCATTGTTTCGATTGCCAACATAAAACCATCCTTTATCCGTCCCGTGCGCCTTGAGAGTATAGCATCGGCGGAAGAGGTCGACGGAGGGAGTCACCTCCTGATGTCGGCACAGCATCTCGAACCCCACAATGATGCGGACCGCATTCGGGGCAAGCTGGGTGATCCTCACGTGGAAGTGACGAAGTAAGTCCCGGAGGAATCTCGACGTCGGCATCCTCAGCCCGGCCTCCAGCTGTTGAACGTAGACAGCCACCATGCCAAAGGGGGGGTTCGCGGCTGTGTCAT